CGCACGTATTCTTCACTTAGTAGAGCAATATATTAAAATTCGTTTTGTTAATTCAGTTTCATTTAAATTAGTTTAAAAGTTAATCTTGGTTAAAGTTCATTAAAGAAGTTCAAAAGTTTAATTTAGTTGTTTAGTTTATTTAATTCATTTCAAAGTTTCAATTAGTTTATTTATTTTTCCTTTTTGTTGTTTGATTAAATCGCGGAATTAAACCAAGCGCCCAAGCGCTTCTTGAGAATTGAACCTCGCCAACAAAATCCCTAAATTCAACAAGAAGAATCGCAGCATAAGGTTTGCATTAGCGGTAACTAAAAACATAAGAATAGTAGATACACAACTCGGTAGGAAGTTTCTTACGTATGAGTCAACTGAATGTAGGTAAAGGAAACTCAGTAAGGGATGTGCGGCCAACTTCACGTGGAGGGTTTTCGGCTAACTTCATGCGGCAAGATTTTTGAATTCGTTTACAGCTCTAGTTTAGTTTAGTTTTTTATTTTCTTCCAACGAAGAGGGCGTCTGAGCTACACACAGCTCAATATGCCCATACATAAAATTTACAACTCCCTTCCTAGGGTCGAGTTTCAACGCCATCTCTAGTCACCATCCTCATCCATCCCTTGCAATCATACCACTCATTCCTCGCAAAATCCTCTTTCTCGCACCTTAGTCTACAATTTCCCTCTCGCTTGTCATTATTCATTGTTATCTTTTTAACCGTATTCTCTTTTTTTATTATGATTTGTACTTTTATCCAGGGCGACACCTTTATGTATCTATCTCTACTCTTTACTATTATCTTACTAACGTTTATATCACACTCTTCGCATATCACTCTAACTGCATTACTTCTAAATATTCCCCATCTCTTACTTGTAAAGTCACACAAACTTCCAGTTCGAGATCCAATTACCCTGTTTCCATTTTTTACATTTTTTACATTTTTATTTTGGTTTCAAAGAAACCGTTCTTCATACCTATTTTACATGTTTTCATTCTTCTTTTAAACTCCACTCTCTCCCTCTCGTACTTCTCACACTCCCACAGTACGTGGTCCACATCCTCTATCCTATCACATACCTCACAATAAGGGTTGTCCACCACGAATTTCCTGAAGAGAGACCAATTTAAATTGTAGTGATTGGCTCTCAATCTACTTAAAGCACATATCGTACCTCTTTCCAAGTTATCTCTATTTCTAAACCAAGGGAAATCCTTTCCCACATTATTCCAGTCCGACTCAAGGTACTTTCTCCCCTTAAACTCCCCCTGCCTTAAGTGTCTCTCTTTCGATCTCTCGCAACCTCTATCCCTGGTCATCCTTTTAAAGTCCTTCAGGGTGAATTTCACCCAGAAGTCCGCATCCCCCCTGTGGCCTCCTTCGCCACTCTATCTGCCCTCTCGTTTCCTTCTATTCCCACATGCGCTGGTATCCAAGCAAGGGCTATCCCCCCGCTCAGCCCCCCACCTCTCTCCGCTGTGTAATTCCTTATCCTAATCTTATTCCCTATCGCATCTACCACATCTCCTACCTCCCTTCCATCACCCTCAGTCAGCAATTTTTTGACCGTGCTTAAAGAATCCGTGAGAATGAGGGCATCCTCTCTCGCAAATCTCTCCCCCGCCAAATCCACCGCTCTACCTATAGCCAGCATTTCGATTGTGTACACCGAATACTGACCAAGGGCTGTAAAACTCTCCTCCTCCCAATTTCCTGCCTCTCCTCTCACAACAACAGCCCCTTCCTCACTCTTTCTGCTCTCCATTCTAGACCCATCAGTATACGAGCTCAACTATCCCTTCTATTTTCCCAAACATTTTCATTTTTAACCGACTTCGAAAAAGGAGGAGGTTACTCAATTCGATCAGTATATTTTTTTTTTTTTTTTTT